TTTGGGGGGATCACATGGTTTTCCAAGAGAACGGTGAGGGGATCAGTCGTCACCAACAGAGTACAAAGGAGTTAGTAAAGGAAATTGACGCGCGCCTCTCTGTGTGACCCGACCCAAGCCTCCCGCGCTTTTTCAGTGTGACCCAACTCAAACCTCCCGCGCTTTTCCATGTGACCCGACTCAAGCCTCCCGCACATTTTCGGTGTGACCCGACTCAAACCTCCCGCGCTTTTTCAATGTGACCCGACCCAAGCCTCCCACGCTTTTTCACTCCGCTAACCCGACCTCCATTCGCTTCGTTGACTATTTCACGCCGATTTACCAACTGGACGCCTTGAGCAAGGTAAAAAATAGGGTTAATCACACATACAAAAATTTCTATGAGACAATTATGAGCTATTAAGTTTGATAACATATCAATTAACTGTACCTCCTGAGACATTTGTAGGCGAAACCGTTGGATCTGAGCAAAGAAAAATCATGTGGAATACATTATATCTATCCTCTATCAAAAAAAACCTCCACTGCCACAAACAATATTTAACATATGCGCTATTCAGATATTGATTTGCTTTTTATACCCTTTGGTTCCCTAATTTTTCAACTTACACAGTCGGAATAAGTTTTCAAATAACACGATTTTCCCTACTCACAACTAACTCTCTCTTTCTCTCTCCCACTCCTTTCTCCCATCAATAAAGGGAAAATTTTCAGTTTGCACTCAATTCCTCCAAGCTCTTACCTTCCACAATCAACCTTATTGTGCAATTTACTGTTCCATATTTGTTGGCAGCAATGCAAACAAACGTTCCACTGTCCGATTTAAGAACGTCCGTTATTCGCAAATACCGCGGAGTTTTCACAACATATCGATCAGCCGGCTGATGAATCTTTTTATAATTCTTATACCAAGTGTAGTTTTGAGCGTATTTCACATAGCACGTCAGTTTCACTTCCTCTTGTCCTACTGGTTTCACGACCCTTGGAGGAGACGATTGCCTCAAATCAGGCGCAACTGCAAAGAAAGAGAAAAGACTGACTTTAGCCCTATATACTTCTTATGACTGAAATATTAGGGGCACCTCCATTTTTGACGTGAATTGTTAGTTAAAGGGGCTATGTCACACTACGTGTTCGCCAACTAGGCGTCATCTAAGTGTGTTGTTTCCCATCGTAATTGACGAGAAGCAGAGAGTGTGGCGGCATAAGTCGACGACCACAGGGATTTTGGTCACAGATAGTATAAAACTCAACAGCAAAGCCCGAAAACGGCCTGTTCGTGTCACTTTTTTCTCGATTCTTGATGATCGTGCGCAAGTCATGACGAATCCCGTTTAAAATAAAAATATAGAGGATGAGGAGCCAGGAAAATCATGCATTTTCCTTCACCCTGCGAGCTCCCGGTTTTCAAAAAACAGGTTTTTGCAGAAGTCAATTTGAGTAAGTTGTTTTTTCACAGCTAGTAATCTAGAACATTTAGACAAAAGGAATAAAAGGCTCCATATTAGAAAATGTTTACACCACAACGTTCAGTTTTATTTTCAAAGATGAAAGTTGCTGCACAAAATATTATAAAAAATATCTCTGAAGTCTGGAGAAAAAATTGTACTGCGTATAGTATTTGTTATGCCAAAGTAAGAATTTTAGTAACACTTATTTCTTCTGTGCTTACCAGCGAATAAATTCTCAGAAAAAAAATAATCGGCATTTAATCTGTAGCGGTAACCATAAAGGTTTGTGTCATTGCCAGTGTTCAATCTTGGCCGAGTCTACGCGTCATCAACACGATAAATTATGTTCTGACAAAAACTGGAATTAACGTGGCGTCATACTGACGCAAAAAAAGGAAGAACTAGTAAAAAAGTGACGGGCATTAAGCAGTAAATTTAAGTTAACTCGTACTTTTGATATTACTTTAGTTCCACACAATTCTTAGGGAGACTAGAAGTGAACACACTTCAACCGGTGTCGCACGAGTTTTTTCAGCCATCGATGTTTTCGCGTTTAATTTGTGCTTTTTTTGTGTTCATAAAATTAACAACATTAAGTGTATCAATGTCGACCCAGACCATTTTAAAAATAACCAAATTCAATGACATGCGGGACATATTACCCACTTTGACAAGATTACTCTTAGAAAGAACAATTGTGACTGGGCATGAGCCCTGTTGACTACATTGACTACAATTTTTGGCGGGGGGTGAGGAGAGGGGGGGGTGGGGATGGATGAGGACGCACACGCACATGCGCGCTGATCCTCCACTAATGCATGATGACGTTCCTGAGTGGCCAATTTTGCTGTGAGTTCGCTCAATGTAGTAAGTAGACAAGCTGAGATAAACATTTCACTTCTGTTACTTCACAGACAGGGACCGACACCAATTTTTTAATTAGTCCGTTTACTTGTTATTCTTCAATTTTTGAAAGGAAATAAAAAGTAAAACACGAAAGGGATGACTACCACCGCGGGAGAAGATCACCAAGATCCCTATCTAAGCCTCCATGAACTTCAGCTCTTCCCCGCAAAGAAAAGGAGATTACGTGACGGTGGCCATAATTACTTTCCTACTTACGTTGGACAAGGCCGATTTAAGAGAGCTTTCATAAAAGGGCTTTTCTTAGTATTTATTTACACATTTATATACCTTGTACGTTTGTTGCAGGCTGTAAACTAGTATCATTTATTGTGAATAAAGATTCAACCACCTTAATGGAACAACACGAGATAAAAGTGACCGCAAGTTGAGTGGTTCTTCTCTGTAGCTAGAGGCAAATCATGACCATGCATCATTTTAGAGTGGGCTCGATGAAGATATGCAAATTTTCCTCTTAAAACTAATCCAGCTGAAAAAGTTTTTGATAACTTCGATTGCTGGCGTCCGCAAGATCTGGTCTAAAGCTTTTTTTGAAACGTCACATGGGATGAGAGCTAACTTTTTGTTCAAATAAAAAAAATACAGTGCAAATTTACCATTATTGAACGACTAACTAAGCTTTTCACTCGACCAATCGATCGTTGAATATCGCATCCCTGTAATTTTTTGTTTTCGCCACTACCGCGAATTAGCCGAAACGATTAGAACGAAACGGCGACGGAATGATATAACAGTTTCCTAATATCGCAATAAACTAGGAAATTGAGCTGAAATCAAAGCAAAAAATGTATTATGACTTCCGCGAAATTCCGGCTTGTGTGCTATTTGTATCTTTTTCTGCGTTTTAATTAGGGGTCATGTTGTGAAAATATAATGTGTACGTGCTCTTTCAGATGCAACTTGTACC